AGTGGGACACATCAGGAGTAGAACCTGTCCAAAATGCCTCAGGGGTTTTTCCATCCAAAGCAGCCGTGGCAAGGCGATTTTGTACATGCATTGCTGTGGCTATGGCCTCTTGCCAAAACATCTTGTCAAGATGTGCATCAGCTAACAAAGCACGAGCAGCATTGACAAGAGTACGATTCTTCCTTTCTGCAACACCATTTTGCTGGGGGGTGTAGCGGGCTGTAGCTTGCAGTCGTATGCCTACATCACGACAGATGCCCCGAAGCTCATTGTTGAGGTATTCGCCACCACCATCAACTCGAAGAGCTTTTATCTTTTGACCAAGGAGGTTTTCAACGTACGCCTTGTACGTTTGAAAGGCAGCAACTGCATCACTCTTACGCATCAAGAAGTGGATGCATGTTTGACGGCTATAGTCATCAATGAATGTGATGAAATATCTTGCGCCATCATGGCTTGGCACGTCCATGGGGCCACAAAGATCAGAATGGACTAAGTCCAGAAGTCCAAGTGCTCGATGCTTACTCGGTGAGAAGTTCCGGCGGTGATGCTTGCCTAAAACACAAGCTTCACAAAATGTAGATGGGATATGTCGGAAATCCAATCCAGTAACGATATCTTGGGATTTCATCCGTTGAAGAGATTAGTAATGAACATGACCAAGTCTTTTATGCCAAAGCTCCGCACGAGAATCTGCCTCCACAGTCTGAAAGGCCTGAATTGGGTCGACAGCAGTAATCTCATACAAGTCCCCAATGCGTGACCCACGAAGCAACTGTGTACCAAGCATATGAAAGTCGCTAGAGTCAACTAAAGAGACTCCCTTTGCATCAAAGACTACCACCGCATTTTGATCACATAGCTTGGCGACGGACATTAAGTTTCGTCGCAAGGTGGAAACATGCATGGCACCATCAAAGGCCATGGTCCTCCCATGATCGAGTGAGAGCTGGAATTGCCCGATGCCGTCCACAGGGATGGTGGTATTGTCACCTAAATGAACACCACGTTTTCCAATGCTCGGCTGATAACACTCAAAAAGACTCTTCTTATTGCTCATAAGATTAGTACAACCAGAGTCTAAGAGCCACCGGCTTGGTGCGGCAATTGCCTCTGCGTTGTAGAGCTCCTCAACAGCCTCATTTGCAGTAGCAATTCCATCACGCTCAAGCAAATTAGCTTTTGCCAACGTAGCTAGTCGCTTGACAGGCTTGGGAGCAGGGCAATCTCGAGCCCAATGGCCCATCGCCAAGCAGCGAGCACACTGATTCTTAGCAAGTCTGGGCTTGGCACGCCCAGATGCCACGGAATTTTGCCCTTTCTGGGCATTTGCAGCTGCATGCGGTTTTGCCACCTGGGCATCACCAGAAGCCTGCGAAGCATACATAGCCTGTGGTATTTCAGCTCTCTCGCTTCGCATGGCCTCAATGTTGCGAAGACTCCTCACGGCATCTGCCCAAGTCATCCCTGGTTGGAGAAGCAGGCTCTCAACTGCATTCTTCCAGCTCGCTGGCAAGGACCTGTAGAGCCGCAGCCTCTGCTGCTCATCCGTGAGACAGTGCTTCGCCCCAGCAGCTGCAAGTTGTGTGAAGAAGCCCTGGAGCTTGGCAGTGTGAGTCTGGATACTGCCATTTTCCTCTAGCCTCAAGGAATCCATTTGTGAATGGATGTTGAAGACATCCATTTCACTCTTGGTGCCATAAGTGTCACTCAGCCACTTCCAAAGCTCTGCCGCAGTGGACTTTGGAATCGATGGGGCAGCAAAGAGAACATTTGAGGACAAGCACATTGCAATACTCCCTCTAGCCTTGGAATCCCGAAGGTTCCAATCACGCACCTCAGCAGCGCTAGAGCCTGGAGCCAGTGATGACTCTGTCCCATCTACAATCCCCAACAAACCATGAAACAAGAGATAGGATTCAAGATGGATCTTGAATCCCTCAAACCCTTCTCCATCAAACTCGCGGATGGATGGCTTTCCTTCCATAGCGCTATCCCAGCTCCGATACCATGAGACAAATCGGGATCAAAGCGCACCGCACTAGCGGACAGAACAGGAAAACCCTAATGGACACGTGGTGAGGTGTGTCGTGTAACACTTGCGATGTCGTCCAATATCATTGAAGAGTGAGGAACCACACCACAAATCAATGAGTAACAGTGTAACGCTACAAGTTCCAAGTAGTTTCTTAGGGATGGATCCTTATTTGTATCCATCTGCTTGGCTCGCCCACTCCCACAGATTTTACCCTTAGTCCAGGAAATGCACTGCAGCGCTATGGTGATTCGTGACGGTCTACTGGTGGCGCCCCAGGGCGATCGCCGTGCAGCTCAAGAAGGAGGGCATTCAGGGGCCTCCACCCCGATTCATGGTAGGCCAAATACCTGAAATCCAGAACATGAGGAGCGCCATCAAGGATCACGACATGGAAAGTTTCAGCCACGACATTTTCCATCGGGTACATCCTGCGTTGCTCAAATGGCGGAAGCAATATGGTATGTTCTTGTCATCCCTGATGAATCTCAAAGCTTCGTTCCTGATGATCATGGTCCAGGGAAGAGATTTGTGTTCTGGTGGAGAACTGAGCCAAGGATATTGGTCTCGGAGCCTGAGATCGTAAGGGAGGTTTTGTCTAAAAAGTTTTCTCAGTTTGATAAATCGGAGGCCGGGCTGCGGTTGGCGAACTTGTTCCTTGGTGGTGGATTAGTTTCTGTTACTGGAGAGGAGTGGAGTCATCACCGCCGACTCGTAGCACCAGCATTCTTTCATGAACGTATTAAAGTGGGTATTCATACTATTATCTTCTCATGAAATCTGGCTGATAAGTGTTTCTGATACTCCTGTAAACAGCAAATGACCAGTACAATCGCAGGGTGTGCATCTCGCATGCTTGATCAATGTGAAGCTACGATGGAGCAGAATCCCGAGATTGAAATCTCTGGAGAGGTGCGTAAGCTCACAGGAGACGTTATCTCCCATACAGCATTTGGAACTAGCTATCTCAAAGGCCAGAGAGTTTTCGAGATATTGTCCAAGAAAATCCCAGAGCTAGTGCCCAAACTCGTCAGCTTTTCCTGGATTCCAGGCTTTAGGTATGCTGGATCATCTATTGAACTGAATCATATTCACTTGCTTACAGGTTTCTCCCACTTCCAATCAACCTCCAACTGTGGAAGCTTCATCAGGAGTTGGATTCTCTGATCACTGGGATCATAGACGAGCGTCGGAACTCAGTGAAGTCAGGGGGGAGCAATACATACGGGAATGACTTACTCGGACTGATGCTAAAGGAGTGTGACAGCAGGAGTAATTTCACAAGCAGGGATCTGATAGAGGAATGCAAGACATTCTACATTGCGGGGCATGAGACCACAGCCACCTTACTAACCTGGACTTTGATGTTACTGGGAGGCTATCCTGAATGGCAAGAACGCGCCCGTGCTGAGGTACACGAAGTATGTGGCAATGATATTCCTGATGGCGAGAGTGTCAGCAGGCTCAAGCTCGTAAGTCGATCAATATCTCCTAATTCCAAAACTTAACTTCTTGATTCTTGAACAGGTGGGAATGATCCTTTACGAAACTCTGCGGCTGTATCCACCAGTAAACGAGATGACCAGGGAGTGTGTGGAGGAGTGTTGGCTGCAAGTTTTACACATTCCAAAAGGAGTATCTGTGTCGTTTCCAATCGTTGGATTGCATCAGGATAAGGAGCTCTGGGGAGAAGATGCAGGACAATTCAATCCAGATCGCTTCAAAGATGGGATCTCAAGCGCGTGCAAGCATCCAAATGCTTTCATGCCGTTTTCGTTTGGGCCGCGGGTGTGCGTGGGCCAGTCGTTTGCGATGATCGAAGCCAAAGTCATTCTGGCTATGATACTACAGCGATTCTCGTTCCGGCTTTCACCGAACTACCGCCATAATCCTGCGATGAAGTTTGGCTTGAAGCCTATCCATGGAGTGCCACTTGTACTCGGTAAAATGTGATGCATGTTCGTGGCATTAGAAGTTTAAAAAAGTTATGTTTGTTGAACTACTCCGAGTTCTTGAACCAAACTGGTTGGTAAATCATCTGCTCTTTCATAGTACCTCAGAAACGTTTAGAACCATCGCGATGGAGTCCGAGGTTCCAACAGAGGTTTCTGCATCTTTTCATTCACCACCGAGTGGACTTGCGGGCTTCTTGAACCATCCAGAGCGAGACGCGGTTTGGTGTCAAGGGGCGAGGCGATCAAGCACGAGATCAACGCATCTACGTCCTCCTAAAACGCCATGCCAGATTGGGTATTAGGTAAGTGTAAAAGTAAACTGGCAAAGATTTTGTTTAACACCAATAAAAACCTCCGATCCATCACAGCTTCTGGATCCCAATCGAGCTGGAAGGTATGGCATTCATATTTCTTCCATTGTTTTTTAGTTCTAGGTTTTCGTCCAGGGAGGAAGGCATCGTATTTCGTGGGGAGATGGAGCTGGATGGGGCGGTGAGGAAAGATTTTTGCACCATTTGCAAGTGTGGTGGCAAAGTAGCTCGAGATGCCCTGCTTTGTTGTGTTAGTGTGCACGAATGTCTTTCGTTTCTCATACTGGCATTATGTAATTACTTAGGAGCCGCTAAGTAAATTCTCAGATTATTGGTATTGGGAGGGAAGCACTAACAGGAGTTTCATGCACTCTCACGGAGAAGGAAGACGGAGGAAGGCAAGAAGGCAGAAGAAGAGCTGATGAAGCATTACCTTGTCAAGTGGAAGTCGAGGTCTTACCCATAGTTACGAACACGAACACGGAACACGAACACAAGCCTCAGATTTCAGGAACCCGAACACGGAACACGATCACGGCCCACGATGGCTCACGAATATTCTACTGAATATTCTAAGAATATGTTATTTAAAAATTATATTCTATTTCTTATTATATTATTATAGGAATATGCTATATTTTATTATATTATTCTTAATATTTTTATTTGCACATAAACTACTTCACACTTTTAAACTACTCAAATATCCTGCATCTCATCGTCATCTTCAACCTCATGATCTTCGACCTCACGATCTTCGACATCATCTCCATCTTCCTCTTCCTGTCCTGACTCAAGCTCGTCTTCAGGATGAGGAACTGTCTCCAGGACTTTGTAGCTTACAAACTTGTCGTAATCACGATCATTTTTGCAGGTTAACAACCTGGTGTTGCAAGCCACAAAAACCAGATCCGCTGTCCTGTCCATGGTAAGTCTGTTCCTCTTTTTTGAAGAAACATGCTCGAAAGTACTGAACAATCTCTCTACCGAGGACGACGAGCATGCCTGACTTAGAACTCGAATGGCCAACTTCTGAAGAGCTGGAGTTTCATAACCATAATCCTCCCACCAACGTACAGCTCCCCTCTTAGTGCGATCAGCCTTAGCATCATATGAGTTGAAAATGCCTCCTATCCTCCGGTAAGTTAAAAGCTCATCACGTATCACATCCCTCTCACTGGATGTAAACATGGCCAGCAGATAAGCATTCCAGTCCTTCATGACCTCTCTGTTAGCATGTTTTTCATACTCCTGAAACTCGGGGTCCAACATGTACGCCACCGAGTGCATGAGCGAGTGATACTCATGCCACCTATTAGACATGATCTGATGAAGTTCCCTGTACCTGCCATAATCCGACTGTCCTTCCTCTAAACTTGCATCCAACCTGTTCATGCACTCATATATCTTTCCAATCGCAGGTATATCACCGTCCACAACACGAAGAAGCAGCATAACATCCTTGGACACCTCTAGCATGTCCTTAACCTGTTGCCAGAAACTGTCATCAAAAACCGTTGCATAACTGTCCCTTCCTGCTCTCGACTTCGACTCAGGCCTTGCTCTGTACGCAGGGCATACGAACATCTGTTGTAAAGCTTCTCAGAGCTCCACCAGCCTCTCCATCATAATGAAGTTGTAGCCGAACCTGGTATCACAATAACGCAGCAATCACTTGTGAGTAAACTCCGCCAACAGTGCCACTATATGAGAGTGGTTTCTAACGAAGATCACCAAAGACTTTCCACGCTCCAGAAGTGTTGCCATCCATGGAAGTACACCGAAGTCTTTCAAGGCATTGTTCAAGCAATGGGCAAAACATGCTGCCCATTGAATTTTCGGGTACCTCTATTGCAAAAGTGCTGCTGCTGCTCTGTTTGCATTTTCCCCATCGGTCACAACCATGACAACGTTCTCTGCACCTACAATGTTAATGCCTTCTTCCCAGCAGCGCAGAGTATTTTCAGCTGTTTTTCCTGTTAAGGAAATGTCGATAGCCTTCAAAAAAGCTCCTCGTCCTTGACTATATGCCACAAGCCCCATGATATGCCGATTCCTCCTATCTGCCCACCCGTCTGCGCATATGGTTGCACCCCTCTGCTCCCACTGCTTCCTCAAGGACGCCATCTCAATGTCAATGAATCGTTTCTCTTTCACCAAAAGCTTATCCCGGAGATCATCATATTTTGGTGGTGCATAAGGCACACCATGCCTGGCAACTTCCTGTATCATGTTGAGGAAGTAAGGTGACCGAGCCTTGACAAATGGAATGTGTTCATTCCAGAAAAATCTTCCGATAGCCACATCAACTCGGTTCTTCCGCTCAGGATCCATCGAATCAACAATATGGACTTGACTCTGTTTGCTAAAAAACAGGGAACTGCAGCCACTTCCACTTGACTGGGATGATACCACCAGTGGAAATCCTTGGACATTGCCATCCATTCTCATAGAAGCACCACCAGATTCATTCGGCCGTTTCTTCCCCCTTGCCCCTTTCTCGGAATCAATAACCTTTTGCATATTGAGCAGATCCGCTTTCTTGTTACCTGGGATGAGAGGACAACTCACAATATCCTTGCTGCCTGGGCCTTCTCCTAACAGATGAGCTCGCACACGATCAACACCACTCAGTTTGTTCACCATTGGGCAGTATTTGCATGACCATAATTTGTGGCCATGCCCCCTGCTCTCAAGAACACTTACCTCATCCCACCATCGCGAAGAAGGATGCTTTCGCAGTATGCTGGATTGCTGCGCCATGCTTGTTTGCCTTGGATTGCTGCTGCTGTGCCCTGAAATGGTGCGCCCTGGCTGGATTGTCGTGTGATGCCGTGCGCCCTAAAACCAGAATATTCCGCGCGAGAATATTCTGAACAGTGGTCCGTGTTAGTAACACGGACCACTGTTCACGAACACGGCCGTGGGAACACGACCCATGGCCGTGTTCGTGAAACACGGTGAACACGGCCGGGATCCCGGCCGTGTTCATAACACGGGTCTTACCTTCATTGCTCTTGGTAAGTCTTTTCTTGCTTATAGACATTAGTCATTCGTACGAAGCATCACAGGATACTGCTGAATGAAATGGAGAGAGCTTCAAGGCTGTATCATGGCTTGTGTATGGGAATATGTCAAGCATATTTTATAGTATATAGTGTATTTTAGGGTTTCCAGGTCCTCTTCTTGGCTTGTTCACCCTTTGAATCTGGAACATCCCAGAGGAATGGAAGCTAAAAGTTGAAGTTTTGGGTGATTTAATGTATGGACTTTGGAGTAAGAATTCTTGCAGGATATAGAGTGGATTGAGCTTATTTTTGTTGTAAAAGAGGTGCCACATTATAATCTACCCAATAAATCCAAAATGGCTAGGTTTGTGTAGGGATTTGAGGATTTTGATGTCATGTTCTTGCCTTTATTTCCTGTTGGATCTGTTTTGCATTTGTAAATGGTATATGGGTGGAGGCATTTGGTCTTGAGCTGTTTAGAAAGTGTTTTCTTGATTAATTTGGTGATGGAATGAGCTGCATGCAAGTGAATATTTGGTCATCAAGATATCTTAAAGTGATTTGATATTTCTAGTGTTTAGTGCAGTGATTTGAGCTAATTCACAGATTTTATTTCATTATGGCTAAGCTTAATGCATACAAGATGCAATTGCAAAAGTCCATCTATGAGCATCATATCTACTTCAAATAATATATTCATAAGTGTGAGAGCATGAACATATAGTGTAATGGAGCTCAGGTGGTAAAGGTGTATATGAATTGTATGCATCTATTTTTGCTCACAAAGTTTGTGGGAAGTGCTTAAAGAAGCTGGACAAAGTTATGCAATATGCTATCACTTAAGAACACAAGAGATTGCCTTAGAAAAGAACAACGGTGTATGAGGAGGACTGTCACACAATGTATTGGTAGAGATTTACTCCTTCCTCTACTTAGATGCTCTCTGATGGCACTTTCAAGCAAAGTCAACAGAAGATGACCAAAAGGTTGAATCGGATAGAAATAGAGACAACTTCATTGAGGCAACAACAGGCTGGCCATGGCCAAGGCCAAGGAACAGTTGATGCTGCTTAGGAGTAGGGCTATAACCAAATTCCACCAACATGAGGTTACTTAGACAATGCAAATGTCAACATCTGGTATTCACCCCAATATGAGTTTTGTCAGTTTTATGGTCATGATAAGGAACATTACAGAGCAAAGCAAGAATATATATGGCATGGGGAAACTATGCTATTGTTTCCACACCTACTCCTTGGCCTCCACAACAACAAGTTTTTCAGCACAAGCCATGTACAATTGGTGCAAAAACAAGCGAGATCAGAAAGGAAAAGCTCCGGCAGATTTAGTGAAGCTCATTCACTTCTCAGGACCACATGATTTCATAGATGATCATATTGGTGTCAACGAGAATGAGGAGTGGATTGCTTGCTCACATCTGTGGATAGGACAGTTCAAGAGTGATCAACTCTTGCAACAACATGGTTGGTAGGGAGGCACGGGGCTTGGATCTTCTGGATAGGGGTGCTTATATACGATTGAGCCAGTCACTATAGTGAATAAACAGGGTGTGGGAACAGAGATCATCTTAGGTGTCCTCGACTCATAGGTTAAGTATGTTGAAATGTAAACAGAGTCTCTAGGCTCACCAGATTCCCCCTACAACTTGGAAACATTTGCTATCACCATGCAAAGGTAGGAGGCACACTATCCGCCACTTTTAGTAGACAATGCTTTGCCTTCATGTTAATCAGTCTCAATGAAGAAGGCAGTTACTACAAATTGTAACTCAAGCTCATCCACTAATAGTTGTTGAGTTGGAAGTTGAAAAGTTAGTAGTCACCCAAGAGTTGATGATGTTTTGCCAAGTGTATGGCTAAAATGCTATGTATTAATATTAGCGTAGTGGGATTTTGGTAACTGTCGGATTGGTTTTAATCTTGACTACTTACTCCTGTATATAAGCTATGGTTTTTGGGTTAATTAATATGCACATTTTTTGTATTCCCTATGCACTCACAGTAGAAATACATTATTTATTTTTATTATGTTGGAAACTGCATGATTATATTTTAAAGTTTGTGTTTGCTAATGATAATTACTTGCTTAAGAATGTTTGAATACTTTATTCTGAAGAGAAAATTGGGAATGTTAAGTTTTTCAAGAGCAAAGAGTCAATAAAAATGATGCATTCTAAGAGAATTAACCATAGAAGGCAACTATATTACTGAAGAATTTGTTATGCCAAAACAGCAACATGGTTTCCTTTATTTTTTTTATAGTTTTTATACAATTTCTTTTTTATGACTGATTTGTCTTTAATTCTATGAATACTAAGGGTAGCACCTAATAAGGCTAAGTGCTTGTCTAGATTACATAGCAATAAATATTAATGTTAATATCTTAGCCATTACCCACCATGATAATGGTGTTGCCATTATGGCCTTTTACCCTTTAGTCTTTATTCTATTGAGATTGTTCTAATAAATTTTTTATGAAGTCTCCAGTTTTTAAATAGCTAGAACAATTTTTATGCCCTTCAATGTGGAGAGCTCAATAACATTATTTTCAGAAGTTTAATGACTTAGCTTTTAGGTTTACATAGCTGCTGTTATAGACATCCTTTTAACTTAGAGGATAATATATAGTTTTATATTCACATCATCCCCTCCTCTCGAAATGATAGAAGACCATCAGAGTTCTCTCGTAGATGGGCCAAGATTTAGAGAAACATAAGAAAGAGGCATTGGTGGATTTGTAGGTGGTATTAGTTATTCTTGATCCCTTTATATGAAGTGTTTTAATTGCTGCATATGCACAATTTTTGGAGGATTGGCCTGTTGGATGTTATGTTGAACATTGTAGACTTGCAGTTCAACTTGCTGCAACACATAATACGGTCCTTTTCATTGAGCAAAGAGCCCCTTAGATAAATCATGTACCATAAAATAGGGGAAATGGACTAACGCTAAGTTATCCACTTTGTACTTTGCAAATGAACGATGATTGGAGTTGTAGCACTATTGTTATCTCACTTATATGTGGCCTATATATTTGGTAGACTCTACTCAAACAAGTGGAAGAATGCTCATTAAATATTGATCCCACGACCTAGCATTGGCATTTTGTGGCAATTACAAAAGTAAACCCAACTCCATTGGTAATATTAAATCATGACTATATAATAGTTTATATGGTAAAGCACCAATAGAACTCTACACCCTTGTGACATATGCATACTGAAGAGACGGCAAATAACCATCCCAATCCGAATGCTAAAAGTTCATATATTTCACGATCATCCCTTTGAATGTTCGAACTAGCCATTCCACCAAACTATCTAAATATGGATGATAAGCACTTGTGAAAGTCCAAGATGTCAAAACATGAAATGCCTCAACCATAAGTATGGGACCATTATTCAAAAGAATCCACTCAAGGTAAGAATGTTGGAACACCACTCGATTGAGGAGGAAGTATCTAACAGTAGTTGCAAAGGCACTAACAAGAGTACCAACTTCCATCTAACAAATTAAATAGTCAAAAATAATAATAAAATACTCATTGGCAGTAGTCAATCTTGGAAAAGGTCCTATAAGATGATAGAAAACTGTAATTGACTCCAACCGTCCTTCTGTAACATAAGGGGGAGCATTATGAGTTTGGTACTAAACACAACTACACACATACTGAATAACATCACATTACATCTCCGGCCAATAGAAAGATTTGGATAACTTCTCAGTCATATGATGATGTCCCATATACTTACCTAGAATAGAAGAACCATGGTAGGCATGCAGAAATTGTGGAATAAAGATTAAAAGCACCACCAGCCATAAATGATCATCAGAATTCAGCCCAATAAAATAAAGAAGGACGTCTTCAAGGTAATATTAAGAATGTAAATGCTGAAATGGCAAGTCATTAGCAAGTGATGCAAGATTCTCGAACCCATCTCGAAACTTTTGAATCCATGGCTCAAGTTTTTGAGTTTTGCAAACTTCATCAAAAGAAGGTAAATCTTGCTCTGCACCTTGTGGACACTGAATGTCAGTATAGCAATTGCTGATGGCATAGAATCCTCGTCTAGAAAATCTACAAATGTTGGAACAACAAACTTGTTAGAAATATGAGAAGAGAGCAAATGTAACGCATGTGGTTTTGACCCTTTATCCTATGGTGATTTACCATAGGATAACACCACGAAGCGGAACCTAAACCCTCTTTATGCCACGTGACAGATGCCACATGTCACATGCCACATGTCCATGCCACGTGTCCACAGGAACCCGAGGTTCAAGGCCTTGGGCCACTGAACGAAGGAACGGTGCCAAACTCCCAAGCATGGAACCAAGGAGTGACGGAACTGAACCACGGAGCAACTCCCGAGCATAAAGCCCAAGGAGCGAAGGGACAGGAGTCCGGAGCGACTTGGAACAGTCCTGGAGCAACCAACATCCCAATGCTAGGACCAGCACGCAAAATGGAGCCAAACGGAGTCTGGCGCTATTTCGGCATACCAGTGGCCTAACGTGAGGACATGGGTACTCCACCAGCTAGCATGGAATGGAACTTGGGCTTAGACCCAAGCCGGACGCAGAACCAAGGACAGGCACGCAAGCGGGAGCTAAACTATGCCTCAGGTTGGTCAGCCATGCCCGACCTACCCACTATCCCTACTATACATTTGGAACCCCCCACAGGCCCCCCTTCTTGAGGAACACACGCTTTGGGCTTTCACCCCAAGCCTCC